TAAGAGATTTACCCTTTTCCAAATTTAATTTAAAGCTAAGTCATTTTAGAAACCACAATTACCAACATGCAAGAACCTCTACTTGAAAAATTTGTATAATTTGAACACAGAAATCCAATTGTTTTAAATTTAATAACGCATTTCCCTCTCAGGCTCAAATACTAGGAGCAGCCTCGAGTAGAACTTAATGTATGAATTATAAACTTCTGAAAACAGCAGCTTATAATCAAGATATCGCAGGATTTTTCTTTACAATGTATTCTCTCATGCTTTAGCCAATATATTTCTAAACGTCCCGAGATATTACTCTCTGAGCTTGCTCTCTTCACTGACCTAATAACTCAGAGCATCGGGATAATTTTCTCAAATCTTAGCTTAAAATTTTCCTTGGAAATTTCACTTGCAAAGACACCCTTCATAGGAGCCTGATTTTCATTCTAATACCGACTGCCCAGAGAGTCTCACCTGTGGGGGCCATTTTTAGGTTGCATTTCATGCCCCTTTCTGCTTCCAGGTTCCAGTGAATCCATGCGGGGCTTTGCCTGATGAGTGCCCCTGCCATCCCCTTCCATCCAATACAATCTTCCTCGTCCAGAAAGCTCGGCCATGGTCTGAGACATGAAAGCTCACGGTCACAGTCCTTCTCTGGCCCCAGGACAATGACCACCAGAGGTCTCATGCTTGCTCCTCTACAGAGTCTGAGCGCAATCTCCACAGCACAGACTTCCAAACACACAAACCCAGGTCCAAAACCCAGCTCTGCCACTCTCCCACTATGGGATATTGAGGAAGGCACTTCATCTTTCTGAGGCTCAGTCTCCTCCCCTGTAAAATGGGTATAACCATCCACCCCGGGGTTGTGGCTAAGGTGTACTTTGATAAGCTGTGAAGAGCAAGTGGCAGGGTATAGTCCATAGTCAGTCTGAAGCAATTGCTCTTACTATTCTTTGAGTTACTACTCTCCCCTGGGCCACATGGTGTTTGAAGGGATGTCCAGCATGTTTAACTAAAGGGGAATTCGCTTCTGAGCAGGGGAATTCACTGTTAAGTATGCAAGAATATACAATAGTCAATGGCATGGAATCCCAGCAAGAGACGCCACCTTGGAGATGATTTAATCTGTGTATGGCTTCATTTCCCAGCCCTGGAAACCGAGCATTCCTAAGGCTCAGACTTGCTCCAGTGACTTGCTCTGAAGGGACAGCACTCCCTAGGACTCAGGTTTGGGGGCGCTGGCCAAGAGATTTCCTTGCTGCTTCTTCGCTCTCTGAGAAAGGCCAGTGCAAAACTGCAAACCTAACCCACACACCCTTCCAAGGAGCTTGTTAGAGCCCATGTCTACTTCAAATTCAGAATCCTTTCCTAGGGAAGACCACAGGAGACAGCAGAACCCAGAAGGGACACAGAGCAGTTCTGTGCAGAGGAATCCCGGGGAGAGGAGGGGGCGTAGCCTTTCTCTGATGCCATTTCCATCCAGAGAGCATTTCCTCCCCAAATCAGAAGGGAGTGGCACTGTGAGATGGCCGGGAACCTGCCACTGGCCAAGTGAAGACAGTGGCCAGGCAACTGCTAGTAACCTGCTTTTACCCAGCAGCAGGTCTAGGATCCACGCTAGTGCTGGACCAAACCACTGCTGTCTGGAAGGCCTTAGGACTGCCAGTTCACACCTCATACCCTTGAAATCCACCACTTCGCCCACAGGTTGGGTGGGTTCCAAGCATTACAATGGTTCCCCATCAATTCAGCGTGGGGGGAGGACTTGGAATTTCAGATCAGGATGGGATTTGGTAACAAATCCATATTTCTCTGATACTCCTGTCTGTGCCCTGTGTACTTAATAATGTTTACAGACAAACCTTTCAAAAGTAGGAAGGAGGGCTTTCAGAAAAATGGCAGATAAATAAACTGGAAGTCTGAAGTTTATCCACTGACAGTGGCTGGTCAACTTCCACAGCATACTCAGTCCTTGACCTTGACCTCAATCTGTTGAGAACATTGAAAATTGCTATGTAAATGTACACCTGCACTTTCCTGATTCCAAAATTAGCATCTGATTCTATGTAATTATTTCTCTTACAGTCAGTGGTAAACTTCATCCCATAGTTCTTTTTTGAGCAGGAGCTTTCAATGCTTAAAAACTTAAAACTTAACATACACCTATTTTTTATGCTTAGACATTTAAGCAAGTTGAATGAAGTATTTCATTTAACTTAACCAATCAAAATTTAAGATCATATAACAGAAGATCCAGGAGGGGGAAAAACACATTACAATTAAAAAGAAGGTGAGTATTTAAAAGATTGTCCCCATTATCAACGCATAAGATATTTTTATTCAGAAATATCGGGAATGAGGCATTAAATCTGAAAATCAACTCAGTTTCTCAAAGGGCAAATATTTCCAAGTTTGTGGAAAGGAACTCATCATTTATTTGATCTAGGCACTAGACGCAGAAACCTCAGGACGAGTTTGTCATTTTAGGAAAGACTTAAGCAGCACTTGGCAAACAAACGCTTGGGTACATTCTGGACCTACGGTATACAACTGCAGTTAGTATAAGCAATACATCAGAGATACATTTAAATCATCTCAGAAAGAGGAGAATCCCAGGAAAAATCTCTGGAAACAAGCACCTCCAGGACTTTCTCAGCAACCACTTCATTATTTAACCTATATGTGGCTGGCTGATCACAAATCCTCCCCTGGCCCCAACTTAAGTCTTCACCCCCAGAGTAAATAAACCCTTCCTTTCTTTTTTTTTTTTTTTTTTAAGATTTTATTTACTTATTTGACAGAGAGAGACACAGCGAGAGAGGGAACACAAGCAGGGGGAGTGGGAGAGGGAGAAGCAGGCTTCCCGCCGAGCAGGGAGCCCGATGCGGGGCTTGATCCCAGGGTTCTGGGATCATGACCTGAGCAGAAGGCAGACACTTAATGATTGAGCCACCCAGGCGCCCCATAAACCCTTCCTTTCTTTCTTAACTGTCCTCACCAGAAAGTGAGCATAGTTGATTGACTGCCCTTCTCTGCCTAATAAATCCATTCATACATATACATTTTTGAAAAAGATTTATTTACTTATTTTAGAGGGAGAGAGAGAGAAAGCAAGCGTGTGATTGGGTAGAAGAGCAGAGGGAGAGGGACAAGCAGACTCCTCGGTGAGTACAGCTCAATCCCAGGACCCTGAGATCATGACCCGAGCCAAAGTCAAGTGAACGTTTAACGCACTGTGCCACCCAGGTGCCCCCATTCCCTTATTTTTAGACGTTAAATTATCTCAGCCTTAAACCCTCCAGTCTGCATATCTTCATTTCATTATCTTTACTTCCTAAATAGACTGCACCACCTAAGAAACCCACCAAATGCTGGCCTCTGCTCTGACCACTCTCCAACAGTTTCCACCTTCTGTTTAAATTGTGGGACTCAGAATTCCACTAAGAGCTGAGGCTCACATCACAATTTTGCCAAGAGATTTTACTTAAAACTCCAGAAGCTCCAACTGCACCAAACAAAGAGGTAAAATGCTAAAATTTACATCAATCACAATAAAAACCGGATCAAGATTCCAACATGTTTGAGTGCCCCTGTTTTTAACGTACTTGTAAAATTCAAGGCAATTCACCTATTATTTTAGGTTGCTAAACCTAAAATAGGTTTTAGGTCCCCATTTTGATCATAATATTCATTCACCATTGTCAACAGTTTTTCTCAAGCTTTAGTAGGAAATGCAAGCCTTGGAGTGCTGCAAAAATTCTGGCTGTCAGTTTCAGAAAAATAATGGGAGAAGGAAAGTGGGTAAAAATAAGTTCAAGGCCACACATCATTTTATCTTTTAAAGGAAGTGTTAATCCTAAATTTGCAACAACATGATCACTACAGCATTTCAATTTTTGAAATTCTTCATTAGTCACAATTACTTCAAAATGGCAAAACATATTGAGCCCAATTCCAAAAAACGTAATTATCAAGTAACCTGCATGAGGCTTTTTTAAATATACACAATGCACAAAGCACTTAACACAAAATCTGTGGCAAGTGCTCCAACAATACCCTCACCCAAGCAGCCAGTGCCCCGCGCAGAGGATCAGCAAGCCCCTTCGCTGTTAGAACTCAAAAGGCACAGAAAACAAAGATTTCAACCAAATATGGTTTGCTTGTCGTCAAATTTTCAGCATGACCCTGTAAAAATAAGTTCACAAAAAACCAGCCAAGCATTACTTTTCTCCTAAAGTGCTTCTCGGATTATAAAACAGCTTTGAAAGTTCAGCCTGACACAACAAATATGGTACTAGGAGGAGAGACCTGGAAGGCAACCACAAAAAGTCTCATTTAAATTCCTGGAAAGCAGGGCTTCTCCAAACACAGCTATTCAGCTCGCTTTGTAAGGCATCACTTGCTGCGAGCCACAAGTTTAACTTCACTCCGTGCCCCAGCACCGTCAAATCCGAAAGAAATTTTGCGTGTTAACGTTGCTTACCCAAAAGAATGAACCAAAGGTCTTCTCTATACACGGTGAAAAGTACAACTTAAAAGCAAGAGTTTCCCCCGTGCAAGTGCGTTAAGAATTAACACCCGGGTATCTGGGATTCTAAGGATACCTTCTGTCCCTAAACATCATAGCTACAGCAAACTAGAGATCAATAGAACACACTTTACGCTTTAAGAAGTGCAGTTTTGCATGGGGGTGGGGTCGAGGAAGGCAATTAAAAATCTCGATTCCCTCCCAGAGCCAAATTAAATAGAATAAAAGATCGCCGTTTCACTGACTGAACCACAGGAGCACAACTGTGTCCGCCCGTCCCCCAAACCTCAAGCCCTCCTGTTCGCTCACCCTCTCGAAGAATGTCTTGCTTCTCCCCCAAAACCCTCAACGTTCCCCCCCCCCAAAAGGTCTGGCTCCTGGTCGCCGAGCCTAACTCCCTACAGGGCAGCGCACAGGCTGCGGCGACACCGAGGCAGACGTCGCCCCACCGTCCGAGCCCCTGCCCTCTCGGACCAACCTTTTCTGGACGCCGCGCCTCGCAGCGTCCGATCCCGCTGTGCTCGGCGCTCCCCGGCCGCGCGGCGCTGGAGTCGGAGACGTGCGTGTCACATTTTATTCCCCGGCAGCCGCTCGGGCGCGCGCGCCACGCGCTCCCACACTCCCTCGGCCGCTCGCGGGAGCCGGGACCTGGGGCCGGGGGCGCCGGAGGCGCGCCGCGGAACTTAGGGGCTGCGGACGCCGCGCGCGCGGCTCAGATCCTTCTGCTGGTGGCCGCCCCCACCTCCGCGGAGCAGCCTCCCCGCGCCACCTCGGGACCCCCGAACGACCCGCGCTCGCGTCCCGGGAGGCCTGCGGGATCACCTCCCCGGGGCCAGAGGCGCTCGGCGCCGGGCGGCAGCTGCAGGCGCGGCTGGTGGCTCGGC